AATATATTGTTTATTGATAATTATTTTATCAAGAAAAATTTTTTTCTATATATATAAAAGATAGTTTGCTTGAAAAAGATATTTCTAAAAATCGTATCACACCCGAACACGCACAATCGACGAGATCACGCATCACACCCGCGTCAAATATTTCCGAGTTCTCGGATGTGGATTTTGTAGTTGAAGCGGTATCGGAAAATTTTGATGTAAAAGGAAAAATATTTAAAGATTTGGATAAATGTTTGGGTGAACATGCTATTATGGCCACTAATACAAGTAGTATCAGTATCACAAAGATCGCGGCTGTTACAACACGGCCGGAGAAGGTAAAAAAAAAAGTATAAGCAGTATTATTAATTATTCATCTGTCAAAGTATTTATTCATTCCAATTCTTTTACAGGTCATCGGAATGCATTTTATGAATCCCGTGCCTGTGATGCAACTTGTAGAAATCATTCCAGGATTGGTTACTTCAAGTGAAACATTATTAACAACTCAAAATTTGACCGAGGCTATGGGTAAAACCCATACTAAGTCACAGGATGTTCCCGGATTCATTGCCAATAGGTTGCTAATGCCGTATATCAACGAAGCGGTGATTGCTTTGGAACAGGCATGAGGCTTTTAATAATCCTATTTGTTGAATCTCTTTTACTTAATATTTGATTTTATTTTTTCATTGAAGGGTATTGCCAGCAAAGAAGACATTGACACCACCATGAAACTTGGAACGAATGTTCCAATGGGACCTTTGAAATTGGCCGATTTCATTGGATTAGACACTTGTCTGGCAATCATGAAAGTATTGTACAATGAAATTGGAGATAGCAAATACAGGCCTGCTATATTATTGCAAAGATATGTTGATGCTGGAAAGTTGGGAAAAAAAACCGGAGAAGGATTTTATTTATGGAAATAAGGTAAAAACCAAAGAGATGACTATACAGTTTTAAGGCTTATGAAGAGGGAATAGTCAAGAAGGCCCAGGTGATATATTGGTGTTCACATAATCGACTTGAGAATCTCCCAGTATATCATCAATTAAACCTATTTCTATCTAAATACAAGTATACTTACCTATTTGTGCATCTTATTTTGGATTTAATTCCTTATATAAAGGATAGCATCTAGCCTTGCAGTCAATATACCCTGTTGATGTCCGTTAGTACTAATGATTAATGAGAATCTTCCAGACATTTTGGCCAGCTTACACATTACTGCTAATATTTTTGGACTCAGGTTTCAATTGGTATAATGGTGTTAACCTTCCAGTCTTCCAGCTCAGGATTTTTTAAAAATAGAACGAAAACTTCTTGGATTACTTTGCACATAAGCTTTATCACTAAGTATCCTTAATAGTTCCATGCTTTCTCTGATTTAGATTTTCTAGACAGTAGAGGTTGGAACCTACCTGACATACAATCAGGATATAGGCAGCTTTGACTTGAGAAAAGATTAATCAAGTATCTTGTGACCTTTACTATAGTTAAATGGACTCTTTCTTGTATCCAATGATGTGTCAGAGCCATGTCCTGTATCTACCTGCATCAATTTTCTTCTTATATACTATCTAAAAAAACTTATTATCTAGTAGAAATCTTTATTTTTAATAATTATTTAATGTTTTTTTTTTTTAAATTTTCTGTCAAATTAAGTATATATACTTTATTAAATATATGTATACTTTATATTAGAAAATATATTACAAAAGATGGCTAAAAGAAAAGAATTGATCATTATGGGCAAGGATGCTAGATCTTGTAAAGAAAAAGCATATCCAA